ATTCTGCAGGAAATGGGTGAGGAAGTCCCACCCACAAAGGAGACACAGGGAGGAGAGAGGAGAGAGGAGACGACAGTGAAGAGGAGAGGAGGAAACATAAACTGATGGTCAACGGGACAGTCTTCCCTCAAACACTGACTCTGACCAAAATTATCCTATGAGGACTATATTAAGGATTATTTTATATTATTATTTCAGGACTTTTAAATCAAAGTCAGACTGATGTTTTTTGTTTTTTTTTTGTTTTTTTTTTCATTTTAAGATAAATGTGTTTTTTAATGTCAAATTCAGGCTTATGCCAAAGCTCTTTCACTGCTGTCCTTAAATGTGTGTAGTTGCGACAGTACAAACTCCTCACTGTGAGATTATTATTTTAATTGCTGTCCGCCTCTTGAACCCTCGCTCAGGTTTCCTCTGTGGTTTCCTTCCCTCGCCTCCTCTGAGCTTTGGGACCCTGCTTAATTTTTCGCATTTGATTGACAGCTGAAAAATGGAGGATCGAGGAGAGGAATCAAGGAGAAGGATGCGAGGAAAGAGAAATGAGACGCGGCCAAGGAAAAGGAAGCGTGGAAAGAGAAATGAGACAATCACCATGACAGAAATACAACACCAAGACACCGCCTGCTGGTCATTAAGAGTACTACAGCAGGAGAGTGTATTAAACCTGAATGATGCTTATGTATTTGGATTAGTATGTGCATAAAGACGGTCCACTGCTCCACTCCAGGGCGCTCTGATATACTCATGTATTTTTAATCCCCTTGGAGGCGCCCGCAGCATAAAGAAGAACACGAAGAATGTTCTGATGTATCCATGGAGATATGTGGGCTTAGCATGGAGGCTACGCTAACTAATCCTATAGGTTTACTAGTGCTCCAGAGCAGCCCCCATGAGGCCTGCCCAAGAGGCTACACGCATTCTAATGATTTGCATGAATAATGGACAATATGGCCGATGGAAAAAGGGACATTTTTTAGCTATGGTTCTTACTGCTATAGCTACTTTAAAGTTTTGATTCACCCATGTAGGTTTAAAGGTACACTATGTGACTTTTCCAGTGGCGGTGGAAGGTCAGTCACCTTGATTTCATGCTTGCTTTTTTTTTTTTTTCTGTTCTCTAGAATGTTCCACAATATGACAGAACACAAACACATGTATTACAGCCTACGACGTGTTATTTAGGCAGGTTTAAATTGTTTTACACAGTGCCCCTTTAAGTAATATCAAGAGACCATCTAAAGTCCAAAACACACACTTCAGCACACCTTTACAGTGCTATTTATTTATTTATTTTTATTCATTTATTTAGTTAAATAATCTGACATGAACTAATTGTTTATCCCTTATGAACAATTATTGTGTATAAGGGACAAACAATTATAGAGTCTATAAATATACACTAATACATTCCAAATTACCAAAGTCAACAAATGTGAACATTCATCTGGTTAAAAGAAAAAAAAAGGGAAAAAAAAAAGAAAGAAAGAAAAAAAATCATTAAAATGTTTAAAGCATAATTAAAATAATAAAAATAATTGCTTGATTAGTCACAAACAACCACACCTCTTTGTCAAAACCTGATGTCTTTAGATTTCAGAAGTTAAGCAAGGCTGGACTTGATTAGTACTTGGATGGGAGACTGAAAATCAGGCATCACACTGCCAACTGTCACTGTGTCCTCGTCCTCAGGCAAGGCACTTCACCATTACCTAGTATGAAAGGAGTGCGTGTGAGTGTTGGAGGTACCAATGGCACAGATTGGCAGCCTCACTTCCATCAGTCTGCCCCAGGGCAGCTTTGGCTACAATAGTAGTTTACCCAGTGGAGTGAATGTATAATGAACCAAACTGTAAAGCAACTTGGGCCATCTAGAAAAGTGCTACAGAAGACTAATGGATATTATTATATTAGTTGATTACTTGTTATTAATGGTGAGCTCGCCTATACAAAATTCTGATTACCCTACATTATTTAAAGGACAAAACATAGTTAACAGCAGTTTAATTAATTCTTTATACAATACTATTATTTATTTTGGCCAAATATGACCATAATGCAACATAATCCGAGTTGGACATGCGGGGTGATTTGAATAATTGTGATACATGAAACATAACACATGCAGTGGTCTAAAGTCAGTGTGACATACGGGGCTACAATACACTGGCCAGAGGACATTTCTTCACACAGTACAAACATGAGGAGTGCTGCAGATTTGCACGTTTGCAGATAATAAACCACAGAGACATTGTTAGCAGTTTTGTGTCCTTTTCTCTCTCTCTCAGGACTTAAGTGGGTCACTCCCAAAAGGAAAGGCAAGTTTTCCATGTGCTCTTTCTAACTGCAGATATTAGCTGGAATTGGTGTCACGATACAAAAGTTTCACACTTAATTTCAATACTAATGAATAGACTTGATACTCTATACTGATTCTGGTACCATGATTATAATTATGTGGCCTAGGGCTGTGCTAAAAATCGAAAGCTTGATAGATCATGATCACGACTTTGGTCGATCTCGATATGGCATACACATTTTAATTGACGGGTGTAATGCCACTCATGTGGCAGTAAGAGTGTGTGGTGCTGAAGATTTATGTTGTTTAGGTTAAAAGCACCTGAGCCACAGCGCTCTCATAAGTGCTCACACGTTTTGACTTAAATCTGTACATTTTGACTAAACATAGTGTCTCTCTCCCTCTAGCTCTGTGTGCATCTGTCTCTGTGTGCATCTGTCTCTGTGTGTGGATCTGTCTCTGTGTGCATCTGTCTCCGTGTGCGCGTCTGTCTCCGTGTGCATCTGTCTCTGTGTGCATGTCTGTCTCTGTGTGCGTCTCTCTGTGTGCGTCTGTCTCTGTGTGCGTCTGTCTCTGTGTGCGTCTGTCTCTGTGTGCGTGTCTGTCTCTGTGTGCGTGTCTGTCTCTGTGTGCGTGTCTGTCTCTGTGTGCGTGTCTGTCTCTGTGTGCGTGTCTGTCTCTGTGTGCGTCTGTCTCTGTGTGCGTCTGTCTCTGTGTGTATGTCTGTCTCTGTGTGTGCCTGTCTCTCTGTGCATCTGTCTATGTGTGTGCATGTCTGTCTCTGTGTGCATCTGTCTATGTGTGTGCATCTGTTTCTCTGTGTGTCTGCCTCTGTGTGCATCTGCCTCTGTGTATGTGTGCGTCTGTGTGCGTCTGCCTCTGTGTGCGTGTGGTTCTGTATGCCCCGCTCCCCCCTGCCTCTCTCCAATCCAGCACCTCACCTTTCTCTCCTCTTCTGCTTCTCGTCTTTATAATCCAAGTTAGGAACGTAAAGTGTTTTCTCACCGTTGTGTGTGAAACTTAAGATCTCATTTAGCACAAGGACGTCACACATGCTTCTGTTGATAGCTGTAACGCGCGTATGGATTAGGTTTAATATATTGTAAAAACTCATTCCCAACTTTAAATGTGTCTTTCTCTGGAATTATTATCCTATCAACATGAAATAAAAACTGTAGTGATTCTGACACCTTGCTCTTTATGTCTGTCTATGTTTTCAACACAATGGAAGAAGATCGAATCGAAAATGGAGATTGGTCAATATGGGGGGGAAAAAAAACATTAAGCTCCCAGCCCAAATGTGGCCTTATTCCAGTATGTTTTTGACGATGATTAATAATAAAGGATTACTCATACGTGTGAATGAAACAAAACACAACTCCATTGCGCTTCTGAGGAGGTTGCATCATTCTAACATGGCTTAAAGCTCACAAGGGTCAGTTTTGCGAATAACGCTAAGTTTAAAGATAAACTGGTTAAGTGTTTTGAGATAGACTCTTAATGGGGGGACTAGGTTCCTCTGCCTAAATAGGGCTGGAGGATTATAGGGTATGATCATGTCCAGGTTAAAAAAATTAAAAAAAGAACTATATATATATATATATATATATATATATATATATATATATATATATATATATATGATTAAAAAAAATAATAATAAATAATAATAATAAAGTTTAAAAAAAAGTCTAGTCTAAAAATTTACTGTGGAAGCTTGTCAGAGATGTTGGTCAAAAAAGTTGTTTTTGTTAGGTTGTTAACATGTCCCCGGTGTCAATTACAGATAAAACACATAAAAAGAAAACAAAAGGTGTTCATTTACCTCCAAAAAGAAAATCACAAAAATATATATTGCAATACACTTTTTTTTTTGGGTCCCAGGAAGATATAACTTTCAAGGCATGCGGGCCTCCATGTAGATTTGTTTTATTTTTTTGCTTTACTTGGAATGTTCCAGTGTATGGCATTAAAAATGTATCTCCATGGAAACAAGCAGGTGCCTCCAGCTGCCCAAGTTACAGGTCAGGTCTGTAGAGAAGCAACTCTGCTCACAGTGCATACACCTGTAATTGAATAAATGCAAGATACTAGCTAAGTTGTTAAGAAAAGTTACATGAGGCAGATTTAAAGAGGAGGTATTTTACTTCTATGGGGTATTAAGATTTAGATCACCATGTTGCCTTTTACTGTTGTGAAAATGCTATATTTGCCGAAAACAGTGTATTAACATAACAAGTTAAATTTTTTTCATTTTGTCTCCTCTCTTTTTACTCCCTGAGTTAAGTCACTCCCCCTTCAGAGCACTATCAGAACACAATCAGTGTGCATCCTGCTAATGAAACTACTGCACATCTCATCAGGTTTGTCAAATTGTTGTGTACAGTTTTGTTTCATGTTTTTTTTTTTTTTGGAGAATTGTCGTGTGGGAGCATGGACAACACAGGCTTGTCGGCGGAGCATTGGACAGAATTGTACTACTAACCATAAGGAGGGTTTGAATAGGGCCCAGGAGAGATCACTAAATTACTGAAACATTCACGGATGATATTTAAAACATCTGCAGGCATGTTTTTGATGAGGGAACAACGTGGCATAACATGGCATTTTGCGCAATACCCCGTTTGTTAGTTCAAGTTTTTTAAAGATTATGACTCACAAAAGCATTGTTTCACTTTTTAGTAAATGTAAAAATGTAATAATGTGTTAACCAAACACATGTCCTTTATTGACAGCAGCATATGTATTGTCAATCTCAGACTATAACACAGTGAACCATGTGATCTGATTCCACATGTTTAAATGCCTCACAGTTTCCTTCCGATTCTTTCCATGGCCCCTCATCAGAGCTCTACAACCACAGTCAATGGCTCATGATTACAGTCTGTTCTTCCAGAAGGCCGGGTGCTGTGGAATTGTGGGTGAGCAGCGGGGGGCGGAGTCAGACAATGCCCTTCTCTGTGGGCGGGGCTGCAGGGTTCAAGCCACACTGCTTCATCTGCACGGCCATGTCGAACAGGTAGTCGTAGCATTCACACCTGAGCGCACAACAGGAAAAGTTAGGCAGGTTATTTAGCTAGAACACATTGTTAGCAGACCAAAAAATATGTATATGTAAAGACTGCGCTTGAATGTAAGGTTTAAGTGTTTGTTTTTTAGTTGTCTTTTTTGCAAAGTTGGTAGAGTCACCAAAAAAGTTACAGTAAAAAGTATTTGGGAAAAGTGCTTCTATATAAAGTTATAGAAAGTCCTTCCTCCTTTTAGTGGTAGCCATTCTAGATTCATGCTAAATAGAGCTATATAGGGTGAGCAGATTTTCAAAATCAAAAACTGGGACACCCCCGGATTGGGGTGGTTGGCAATAAAAAAAAAAAGTGAAACGAGTGTTTAATTAAGGAGAATTCTTCTGCACTCTGCCCATTCATGACTAACATGTGAGTCAGTATACTCAAATTGTTTGTGCCAATTTTAAGCCGATTTTTGGCATGACAACAAATGACAATGTGTGCCTCTCTTTACTATTGGCAGGTCAAAAATATGGGACACCTGGGACATTTCTTGCATAAAACTGAGACAAATCAATGGTTTTGGATAAATCTGCTGGGATAGGGGACACAGAGCTCAAAACTGAAGTACATTTTCTGTTCATAGAATCCAATCTAAACATGCAATGTTACTTACCATAACAAATTAAATTATAAACTAGGTAGGTTTTGATGTGTGAAAAGTAAGAGTAAACTGTCAGTAACTGAATAAGCTATAATTTAAAGTTCATGCAACTGAAGGACAACAAAACATTAAATAATGCACGCGATCTGGGATTTGGGATAGACACAAAAATCAGACAAACTAAATCAAAAAACAAGAAACACAAATGTTTAAGTCATTTCATCAACATAAAGTAGCACCAAGGGACCCATTTCCAGATTTTAAGATAGGCTTCGTCAGGATTACCTTAGCTCAAGGCTTTTATGTATATTGTGCATGTTTTGAGTTGATGGGGGAAACCAGAGTGTCCATAAGAAACCAGCTGAGACACGTGGAAAACATGCAAACTCCACACAGAAAGGCCTGGTATTGGACCCAGGAACTTCTGGCTGTAAAGTATAAGTGCTAGCCAATGTAATTTAAGTGTATTACTTAACATATACATAAAATACAGTATTTATATTAAACAATCAATCACATAAACCCTGGACAGGTCAGATGGTCAGGCTGAGGTCTTACAGAAGTGTGACAGTATCTTTATCACTAATGTAAAGTGAATGTCATGTACTCTGACATATGTAGAGTGTTTCTCACATGGTCTTGGCCTTCTGCCAGGACTCCCCCCACACGTACACCCCATGCCTGCGCACCAGGACCGCACAGGACTCTGGGTACTGCTCCATAGCTCGGGCCATGCGCTCCTTCAGGTCCTTCTCCTCTGGGGTGTTCTCGATGATAGGCACCACTAGTGTGTCATCATATCTGCACACAACCACATAAGCAAAACACGTCTATGAAAACTAACAATGGGGCTCCGTCTCAAATCCTTTCCACACTTGGTGGTGGTGAGCTATTCCTGTAGCCACAGCTGTCCTGTGACAAACTGATGGAAGGAGAGCTGCTCTAACCACTAAGCCACTGTTGGCCTCATTAGCAAGTTTTATGCATAAGACCCCATCGAGGTTATAACATACACAATTGAAGTTTATATGATCTGCACTTTACTTGTGTTTTGTTTATTTGGGCTGAAAGAGAAGAAGATGAATGTTGTTCCAGTTTTGATCTTATGTGGATAAGACTGCAGATTTGTTAACCTTGGTTTATGGTTAATAGCTTTGTAATCTGTAATCAGTAAATTAAAGAATAGAACTTTGACCTGATCTGGCTCTTAAGTTTAAAGTATAGGAATTGTAGAATGTGATGTGATGCAAACCTAAAATGTTGCTTTGAGATGCAGTAAAACAGAAGCTTCTAAACCAGTAGGCGCATGTCTGTCGTGGGGAGTGATATGTAGTATCAAATTATGACTAAAGAAACTGGATACAAGCACAGGAAATGTTTTTTCTTTATTGTAACAGATACTAAACAAGTCTTTTGAACGCCTGCAAATGAAACTAAGGTGTGTACTGAACTGAAATCCTCAGATGTGTCCAAAAGCCCACCAGATGTGAACATGTGAGGACCTGTTTGTGAAGGTGGTTGGTACTGTGGTAAAACATGATTATAGAGGAACAAGTGTAGACACTACAGATGTATCAGGAGATCATCTCATTAGCTTTTGGCTGAGACTACAAAAGAACAGTCACGTCAGTTTGTGCCTACATTGTGTTAATTGTGCAAAATAAACTGTAACCTATATATATTTAAAATGCACAACGTTACGTGCACTGTCTGGTATTTTAAGAACAATAGACAATAGAACTATTTTGAAATAAATATGCGCTAAAAGTAAGGAGCAAGATACAAATATGTTCATATCATTTCAAATTTGAGTTTGAAACATATAGCAAATGGTATTATAGACTTTGAGCCCTAGCTCTATGTTCCCAAAACCCTCTTTTCTCAGAATATATTTTTGAAAGTAAATCCATAACCCCTACCCTCACCCTGGACCTAAACTTAATCAGAATCTCAATACCAGACCCTAACCTAACCATGACCCTACAAATCATAGAGCTGACCCCATTGCTGGTGCCACCTGGCACATGACATCTGTGGGCATGATTTATTACTGAAGATGTGTTTGGATGGAGGAGCGTCTGGCACGTTGTGGAGATGAGCTTCAATTTGTTAACTTTGCTGTTTAGGCCAACTCCATGCAGCTTTGGAAACAGGATATTAGGTTCTGTTGATACATGCACAGATGTACTCATCTGTTGCATCAGAAAAGTACCGAAAAAACAGGCGATGCCCACCACGCCTCACCACTGATCCCTTTTCACCTTATTCCGGAAGTTGTTTTTCAGGTTGTATTATTTAGCATGGGGCTGCTGTGTAAATAAGTTATATAGAGACTACAAAGCTGTTTTGAAGCCCCCCAGGGAATCAGTGTTGACCTGTTGGTGCAAGGTCAATAAGCTGTGGTCCCTGCACTTTCTGCTATAGAACTATCTATCTACTAGTGTCTGTGAGACACAAATGTCAACTGAATCAGGTTTTGACTAAACCAGGACTTGAACAAGACTAAACCACATCTACACCAGAACTAAACTGGGCCCAAAACAGGACCAAATGTCCCTTAAAAGTACTATAAAAATAATGTTAGAAGTATAATTTCATTAACAAAATAACACTAAAATATATAACTGAGTAAATAGTACTCCTCACTACCTCCTTCTGCAGCTCTGAGCAGTGATCTGATCTGCCCTGTGTCCACTCAGCCCCCACAGGAAGTGCATACCTGTAGTTTGTTTTGGAGGTGCCCCTGCGGATGCCCTTGATCATCTCCTGATGCGTAATGCGGAACTCTGTGCCTGGGTACAGCAGCGTGGCCAGGACCGCGGCTTTGGAGTGAGTGTGGATCACCGCCTGGGCTCCTGACAAACAAACAATGCTTATTACTTAAAGGGCCCTTATCACATTATTTCTGATCTATGTTATAATGTTGTTTCCTCATCACAAATATAGTTTCGTTTAGTTAATAGTTTGGTTCTTCTCTCATATAGAAAACAATTCCAGGTATGTTTTCTCAAGAGGTAACAGCATTCTAATTCTGGCTTAAATTTCACAAGACTGAATTTTGTGTAATATAAGAACTTTAAAAAGTTACACTATGGAAATTTTCTGTCCACCACCTCTTTGTCCTCATGGACATTGCTTTGTTACTGCTTTTCCTAAAATGTTCCAGAGTTTGACATTAAAGCCATATATGTTCAGCAGGTGACACCATCAGGCCAATTTACAGGTCAGATCTGTGAAAAGCCAACCCCTCGGACAAAAAGAAGGCATGTTTTTCAAGGTATTTTTGAGCTCTAAAACATTTTGCTGTAACAATAACTGACTGAGCTGACTTAGATGGAACAGGAGATCTGATCTGTGCTGTTTAACAAGGCTCTCTCAAATAACATTACAGCTACATGCTTAGCTAGCATTAGCTAGTTTTAAGAGAATGTTAAAACATTTTTGGCAGTGCTTGCTAATGTGTGCATTGGGTCATCATGGTAACTGCTGAACAGTCTGTCATAAACATGCAAGCAAAACACCCCCAGCATGATGTTACAGCAAAGTATCAATATGTGAGACAAGTGCAAGTATTTGAACTGTTTAGAGTGACACCATAGCCTGCAATACTATAATTGTAATTGTTTGAGATCATGATTTATGAACATTCAAACCTTTTTAGTGGAGGAATACAAATTATCAGTTGTTAGGAGGGCTGTGGACTAAATTCTTGGTTGACTAAAGACATGCCCTGACTGTTGTAACCAATTAGAGCAATAGATTGTAATCATGATTAAAATGTGATTTATAGTGCAGCCCTAGCCCGCAGGGCTCTCTGCCACCAACTAATAATGTCACACAGTGAAACCGAGGCAGACACACTAATGACTCAAAGATGCATGAACGTTCAACCAATCCCCATCTCACAGCTCTACCCCGTCTTTATCTACCTATTGAACTGACACAGACGGATGAGACAGTGTATTGTATTGTTTTGTCACTGCTTGACCTAGTTTTGCATTTCTACTCTCTGAGCGTCAGCTATGAACTGAATTGCCCTTTGGGACAAATACAGTTTACAAATACAAATACTGATTCTTCTTTCATTTGTAATATTACATCATGAATATTTTAAAGGTGTTGTACCTGATTTTAACCTGATCTTAAAAAACATGAAAAACAGAACTAAATAATTTCAAATGGTTTATTATTCAATACAACGTGGTTATATACTGGATAAGTGCTCTTCACAACTTTCAGAGACCAGAGTAAAGTTAGCATGCTAATGCTTTCTAATTAACGGACAATAAAATGCTTTAAACCAAGTTACTGAAATGCTGCCTGATGCTGCTTTTACAATATATCCGGGCTGAGGCAATAGAATTATTTTTTTTAAATACATGGGAAAAACGCTGGCACAGAGCCTTTAAAAATAACACAGTATTTTATAAATGACTCATGTTTTTCGCAGCAAGAGAATATGTTGGAACTTATCACAAAGCATAACATGAGGTACCTTGTTATTTTCAGGCTTACACAAAATGTCTTTTTTTTTTCTAAACTGACAGCAATTTGCATAACTTAAAATGAAAATCTGTTAAAATATCCACAATAATAATCCTGAGGTAGTTCTGAATAGCCAAAAAGATTGAAATAGGCCACTGAACAGACAAATTAATACAAGAACTGCATTGATTTCAGAACATGCCCAGTACAGATTTAAACTACAAGGTTAGCAGTTTCTATGCAGAATATCACACACTATTTTGTTGTTTATGGAGGAAATTAAGGAAATTAAATTACAGCCATTAAAATTGTGATTTCAATTTGACTGTGACAAATCTTGCAGGCCTGGTTTCCAATCAGCACCATTGCTCGCTCCAACTAATCTCAAAGCACATTCATACTAAACGAGATGGGGGGTGAAGTGTCTTGCCTTGGAACACATTAACAGGGAAATCAACCTTCCCACCCTGCCAAACCACAGAGCTCTCCTCACATACAGCCTTATACTCTTGGATCATTACCTCTCATAGTGTAGGCATTCATGAAGAGGGGGGTGCACTGACTCTTGGTGAGGTTCTTCCAGGTTGGAGGACAGCTGATGTCTCTCTCCTCCAGGTCACACACAAACATGTCCTCAGGCTAAAGGGAAAAAAACTACATCAGTACCATTTACTTTCTGGTTTTGACATGAGCAGCAGATATGACTTACATAGAGGTAATTCCATAACTGTTACCTTGCGACAATAATGTAACCAAGAGCCAAACACTAAATTACACATGATTAGAAATATAAAAACAGATGGCAACACATTTTACTAAATCAGTGTTAAATCTGTCAGACTTCCTCACACATAAATGATCTCTGCATTTTAGAACTCACCACTACTTCCTGTATTTTTGAACTTGTCTTTTCAACTTTTTTTCCACAAACTGCTACTTGACTGATCTAAAACTATGATAATGATCAACCACAGGCACTATCCCACCAAACTAAATCATAATTTTAAAAATATGAAAACCTGTCATATGAACTTTAAAGGTGCATTTTGTAACTTCCCTGGTAGAGACTCCCTCAAATCCTTTTTGCCATGGAAATGTTATTGCTTTGTCTGGAATGTTTCATAGTATCATATTAAACCTTACTATCTTCATGGAGATGAAACCAGACCAAGTTACAGGTCAGATCTGTGGAGAGGCAACCCTGCTCACAGTCAGAATGTCCGTTCTAGATATTTTTGAGCTGTAACACCATCTGCAATTGAATAAATGCAAGGTAGCGCTGTTTAATGTAATACTGTGGAACATTCAAGGCAAAACAATGACAGCAAGTGACGGACCCTCCACCACAAAAGTTACACAAACCTTTAAGTCACTGTAAGTCACTAATTATTTTGTTGTATTATCAGTGTTGATCACTTGTATAGAAAGCTGTTCATCAAAAGGGACTTTCTGATAACTTCTCTAGACAAATGATGATCTGAATTTCTCAATTTGCACAGATTCTTTAAAACATATACATTTTTTTTACATACCTAAAAATGTAAATGCTTGTATGAAGATTTTATTTGTAAAATAAGATAAATCTGATCTTCAAACTTTTCTAGCCATTTTCAGCAGAAACATATAGAATCAACCTGCACTTGAAATAATGTGTGTTCTAAGAGTTCTAATTTAATTACATGTTTTTCTTCAATAAATATATTTAAACATATTATTACGGTGATAGATTTTGTCAATACATCTTCTCATGAAAAAGGGACCCTATTCACAACAAACTGGAAATGGTTGTTGATCATTCTCTTACCTGTATTCTCTCTTTCTGAACGCCTGAAGGAGCGATGTAAATGTGCTCGCTGTAAAACCCATAGAAAAGAATGCAGGTCAATACTTCAACAATCTGTCCTAAAATGACTACCATTACCACAATTCTTTTACTGAAGGAACAGATACTGCAACAGAAGCAGAATGAGCAGAAGCAATGAGGTATTACTGGTGTTTGAAAATAAAATGTGTATCAAAATAAATAGAACAAGTCTGAATGGTTTCAAATGGCATGACAGGCAAAAAATAAACAATTTTAGACAACTTTTTAAAATTTGATTTATTATGAACAGTGGTAATAAGTATCATCTTAAAGGTGCAGCTTTTCTGGTGAAAGGTCTGTTAAATGCTTTTCTCCTATCTGTCTTCATGGAGACCAAACCAGACCAAGTTACAGTTCAGATCTGTGGAGAGGCAACCACACTCACAGTCAGAATGCCTGTTCCTTATTTTTGAGCTATAAAACCATCTGTAATTGAATAAATAAAATAAAAAGTAAAGCTATTTCATGTCATACTGTGGAACATTCCAGTCAGAGCAATGACATATCCATAGAAACAAGCAGGTGACAGACCCCCAACCAAAATTTGCATAATACACATAATGCTTTTAGTCATTTAGTCAACTAATTGGTTGGTGTTTTTTTTAGTCAACTTATCTTATTTAATTTACAAGGATGTGCAGGGTATCCCCAGGTTTGACTACTGCAAATTTAAGACTTTTTAAAGACCTTTTTAAGACCACTTAAATGAAAATTAAGACCATCATCGCAACCATTATGCGAGAGAAAAACACCACATCCAATTCTAATAATGACCATTACTCATTGCTTTAAATAACAAAAAAATACTTGTATTATAAAATCTCATTCAGAACTTAGTTATAGTGTTATGCATTGCTTGTAAAATGGCCAAAAAATCCTTTTTAACATCCTAACAAGACAAAAGAACCTTTCACATTGAAAGACAATGTGAGACAAGACAATGTGCTTCAACCATTTAACATTTTCAACAACTGTTGTTCACTGTACTGATTGTTTACTCATTGCCGCCGGCGCCAGAAACAAAAGTATTGTTTGCGCATACTCTAACCTTTTTAAGACTTTTAAGACCCCGCGGCTACCCTGATATGGGACAGCAGCAGAAAGGAGAAGTTAATGAGTTAGGTGACGTTTTGTTTTGTTTTTTTAATTTATAAATAAAAGGTACATTTATATCTATACACAAATAGTTGTATTTCCATGTATTCCTGTGTGGGTCTATGCTTGTGAGTGCAATTTGAGTCAGATACATAGAGATGCGTAATAGTTATAGTAGCTTTGGCCATGCCTACTTTTTAGTTGACTTAGATTCGTCTTAGTTGATCAAGAATTTCTTTAGTTGACTGCTAACAGCCCATGAACATTTTCGGATTGAAAAATACTACAAGAGAGGCCTATGACATTTTAATTAATTAACAAAAAGATTTGCACTTTGCTTTTAGGCGTTCTATTGCTAATTAAACTTATTTGTCAAGGTATCTACACAAGAGTTATTCGTAATACAGGAACCAAATCAAAAATTTCATCCCATTTAGTTGGGGAATAGAAAAATATAATAATAATAAATTGAATAGAGATGGTATGGACTGACCCTTTCCTGAGACTAATGCCTCCCCCTGTGCCGGTGACCCATCCCAGCTGGTAGAAGAGCCTGCACAGTTCAGGGATCAGGACCCGTGGGTGCTCTGCATCCTACACCGCAAAACCACAAACAATAACAACCTCATTCTACATTCCAGTTAAAATGCACATGCAGCACAATGAACATCCATTTAACAATGTTTTAATCATATCTTAGCATTTGCATAGAAAGAATGGTGAAAAGTTGAACCCTGTGGTGGTAAATGGTCACATTTTTATATAGCGCTTTACCACCTAGGGGCGAAGTAGGTTAAGTATCTTCCCAAGGACACAACAACAGCATTCATCTGTGGGAGCTGGAAACACACCAGCCAACCTGTAGGTCAGTGGATCTGAGCACTCAACCAATGATGTTTATGTTGAGAGTGAGATTCAACCTGCCAGCCTTCAGATCAGTGAACAAATGCTGTGCCAACTAAGATACTGTAGTGACTTGTGCTGGAGCTGTATCTATTTAATGGCACCAAGTATATAGACATTATTCTGTTAGCTTTAATGTGTGACTGTATAGAAGGCAGCAGGAGGTGATATTTGCCTGAATAAGTTGTTGAAGTCAAATTTCTGTTAAATCTTAAAATCGACAGATAAAGTTCTATGAACACTGGCCTGCTTTTCTGTTGAGGCTGGACATGTGTCTGAAGAGCAGTCACTGGTCCCACACAAGGATGACATCTGTCAAGAAAACAAAAACAAAAAAAAGTATTGAACAAGAAAATATATCTGAATATTTGTAATTAAGAAAGAAGTTAATTTCTCAGTTTATCAATATGCAATACATGCCATCCCAGTATAAAGAATCCACTTTTAGCAATGTGCTTTACTCTGTTCTTACATTTCTATCTCGAAGTACTAATACTAAAGTTAATACTGGTGAATAGCAGTAAGTTACACACATAATACATTTTTGCTCAGATTCAAGGACACAACAGTGAGTTCTCGTGGCCCTGCTGTTGAATGAGAGCTTATGAAGATAATGCTCTGCTGACAAGAAGAGGATCCTCCTTCACACATGCACGCACACGCACACACACACACGCACACGCACAAAATCACTGTTGCGCTGGTCACTTTTTGCCTAGCTACATTGTTACTTTACCTATGTAAGATTCAGATTCCTTCTCACTTTACATTTCAGATTCATGGTCATCTTAGATGCTTACACCAGAACATCCTTACACCAGCTTAATCTCAGAAGACATTTTAATACTGAAAAGAATCAAAGTATGATTTAAATTTTGATTTACATAAACACTAAGTAATTGTGTAACTACAGTTTTTGGTCATATAAAGTATAGCTTTTAAAGTATAGCTGATAAAAAAAGTAATACATATTTATTCTTAGCTGTTTACCAAGTTGTTTATGTTCCAATTTGGTGATTTGATTCCCAAGATGATGATCTAATCAAAACTCAGAATGAGACTCACACAAGTCGCTGCTGATGACATGGTTATTTATACTTTTCAAGACTATGTTACACAGATGCAAAATGCACTACAATCAGATTTTCATACTATTCACAAGTGGCATATAGAGAAGAATCTTTCACTTAATGAAAAAAATCATGTACAGTCTCTGGGTCTGACTTGATGATGAAAAATGTCTTATAGTAAACATTGCAACATTCAAGTACTTAGACCTGTGGATTGATCCAGAGTTAACATTTAAGCACTCCTTCATTTAAAGGAGAAGGAGTGCTGAAGTCAGCTATATAGAAAATGTATTGCCAAACAACTATTATTACTAATGATGGACTATGCTGATATTATATATTAGTCTGATAACACAACACTTTCCTCCTCATATGCCTTAAGATATAAGACATAAGAGATCCTTTTGCTACAGACCCCTGACAAATGGAATAATCTCCCTTGCTCGATAAGATCCTTCACTATGCTTAATTCCTTTTAAACATCCTTATTCAAATGTCTTATGACACCATGTGATTGTTACAAATAGAACTTCTGTCTTCTCTCTCATACTAAGTTATATTCTCACTGTTGTTTACCTTGGGTGGGTTGTGATGAGCAAATGCAAATGTTTTTTCTCCAGTTCTATGTGTATTTGTATATGTTCCTGATGTTGTCTTGTGTATGTAAGACTCTTTCTTGTTCTTGTTTTAAGTAGCACATGGATGAATAAAAATGAATGTACAAATGCATTTATCTACAAAAGTTAAGATGATTTGTACCAAATTGGTGCTATTTTCCACCTGCAATCTCTGGGCAGGTGAACACACTAAACATAGACATCTCGTTACAATTACACATAAAACAGAGTTTTTAAAACAGCCACTGGAAAAGGACTAGTCTTACATTAGCCTTAACAAACTAACTTTTAGCCTTGAAGAATGCAGCCTTGTCACTTTGTTTAACTTCTCCATGGATAACCCACGATTACAGAAGATGTCATGAATCAATTTACCTCTTGGTGTAAACAAAGCTGAGACTTCTGTGTAAAAATAAGACTGAAAAATGTATCACTAGACGAGTTATACTTACATTTTTGTGGAAAGAGCAGCAGCCAACAGTCAAAACGGTGTGCTTACTGTGACGTCATTGAGGAGCGCCTGGCTGTCGCACACAGTCGCGTCATAGCAAGAGGGTCTGGCTGCCAGACTCCTCTCCGTCATAGGACAGCGTGTGGTGTTAGCTCGTGAAGCTAAAGCTAAAAACAGTAAAGCAGGGTAAAGCCTGCTTTTACTGTTTTCAGAAGACAATAGGATAAAGATTTTGTGATACTGATACTTTTGGGCTACCAGTACACTAAAACAGACCACTGACATTTGTAAGCATAGACTGTACATATAATGTTTGTAATACTGAAGATTATTATTATTAGTATTATTATTATTATTAATAATAATAATAAATTTTTGTCTTACTTGATATAGAGATTTTATATGTTGTAATTTTCTACAGATTTATTTGTGTTATAAATATTCTAAACAGCATCTTTGCTTAGAAAGTTGAAGTTCTGAGCGGTCTTTGACAACTTGTTTCTTAAAGAAGCCAGAAGAGGGCAGTAGTACGTCAAGGCCTAAAACGTAGCCTTATAGGCTACTTAGTATTACAGTTACATGGGGCATGGTTGCACATGATTCGAAACTTTATAACGTTCTAATCAATAAAGTATTATTTATTGTCAATTCCATTTCTTTTCTGGTGCTATATTCTGCTCAAGCTCTTTTAAAAAGAGTAAGAGAACCTACCATATCCCTTTGCACAACACAGAAAAATAAATTTGTTGAATGCAGATCTGTGAATAGAAAATAAAACACTTTAGTAACATAAAAAATAATAATAATAATAATAAATAAAACTACAAAACTCCAGCATAAGGCCATGTTTTTTCAAATACAAATAAATGAATTAAACAATATCAGCTGTCAGAAGAAAAACTATGGTGAAGATGAATAGACTTTTAACACAGAGAAGAGGATTTTAAAGACACTGTCACTTTTGTGGCATTGTGGTTTTTGTTTTTGTTTTTTTTTAGGGTACACCGCCTGCTTAAGAATACACTTCAAGTGAAAACACCAGGGTACATAGATAACTTTTAAAATTTCTATGGAGACGAGCAGATGGAAGACCTACCAGAAAAGTTACATAGTGGACTTGTAAGCACTGTGAAATGCAGACTTGAAAATATGATTAATGAAACATGCACAATCTAACCCCAGCTCTTGTAACATTTGGACAATTGCCATTGTGATGCGCAAATTAAAACAAGAATGTGAAGCTGAAACCCATTATTTACTAGGTTTCAGATAACATGACAACAGTATAATGAATACAAATGAAGGCAATTAAAATTAATATTGTTTAAAGGGTGTATATCAGACTATTTTCTGATCTATGTTATAATAAAACATTATTGTTTCCTCATCACAAATATATCTGGAGTTTTGTTTTGTTTCGTTCACATATGTTCAATACACAAGCCCTTTGTACCTGAGCTAAGTTCTTCTCTCAAACTGAAAACACTCCATCCATCTTGTGATGTCATTTGGTAATACAGGAAGTGCTCCACTGTGTTTTTTAAACTCCATATACCTTCACTGTAATCATTTGGATGATTTAACAAAACACAGCAAAACACAACCCAGGTATGTTTTCAGTGAGATGACATTATAACATGCTTTAAAGCTCACAGGGATGTAGTGTAATATAGGACTTGTATAGGCTAGATAGATGTCATGAAGTTTATAGTGTTACTTCCTGTTTGGACATAGGAAAACAGATATGACATCTCAAGAAGTAAGTCCATAACTGTTAAATAACAACCATAAAGGGTCAAAAAAATGACATAAAAGTTTATTTTATTAAATCTGTGTTTAATCTGTCAGAAAAATGTGTTTCTTTTGCATAAATTGTCACTCCATTTGGATGAGTTTTCAATGTTGATGACAAAGGAAGGGATATTCAGTTTTAGAACCTCTTGTACTTTCCTTTCATCATGTTCTTTTAGAAATTGCCACTTGCCTGTTGTAAAACTAACTGAATAATAATTACAAAAACAAGCATTAACTTTAAGGAAGTCTAGGACTCAAAGCTTAGACTGCTACACCTGTGACTCAGCTCCAGATAAACCATGGAAGAAGACAGATGGAACTGTCATATGACAGACTAAAAATCAGGCACAGAAACCTGTAAAATGCTGATTTTTATTGTAATAGAGCAATTTCTAGAGTCTAGTAGTCACTATTAATTCTTTGAGGCTGATGTCATCAACATTCTCTGGGGTGTGATGCTAACTGTAAGCACTGCTCTGTCTGATTTTTTGCCAGACTTTAATGTAACCTTTATTTCAACACAATCTGAACCAAAAGAACTGATTTAGTTGGAATTAGATGAAATTATTTTTACTGTTAAACAAGCCTCAGTTAACATTACAGTCATGAGCTAGTCAGCATTAAGCAACAGTTATTTCATTTAGTCACTCTCACCTTTTTTGTTGAAACAGGTGAGAGTAAACAGAACCATGAACGCTCAAATTAATCACAGACACCTGAACATTATATAGGGAATTATATAGGGAGTATACTGTATGTGGATGAGCCAAATAAAAAGAAAAAATATAAAATAAAACTATATAAATAATAATAGCAATAAAAATATATGTTTATTGCATTTTCATAGAAGGCCTGTAAAAATACACAATAACTCTTCTGCTGGGGGCTCAATCAGTAGTTGCATTTGTTCAATTCTAGGAATTCATTGGCAAAAATAACCTGTGTATTGTGAGCGGCCTCTACTCCTCCAAATTTGAACACATGCAGTAACACCACTGCTTGTATGTGAGCTACCGTTCCCATGCACACGTTTGCATAGTGGAGATTTGCATGAACTGCATATAACTGATGTGGTTAGCGCTGTGACTGAACCTGTGGCAGTGAGAGGACTCATTTGACTGAGAAGAAAAATGATACAGTGACAGGTAGAGACACGTCTGTCATATCTGTCCCACTTATGAGGATACTGGAGTTCATGCTCATACAGAGACAATGTGTGATGTGTGATGCAAATATCATACCATCTCTAGAGCCTCTCCTATAACGTATAAATCATTTTCCAGTCACAAGGCAACTGTACAGGCAAATTATCACCGCAGGGAATAATCAAGGGAGTATACCGTATGTAGATGAGCCAAATGAAAAAAAAAAAAAAATTTAAAATAATAGTTTCATTGCATCACACAAAACGTTTAAGGACTCCTATAAAAAATGTGCAATAGCTCTTCTGCGGAGGGCTCAGTCAGTTGCTTGGAAAAAAAAAATAATAATAAACTTTTAATAAAAAAAAGGAAAAAAAAAGTGTAATATCATATCATGGAACATTCCATTCCAAGCAAAGCGATAACATTTCCACTACATTGATATTGATACCAACAAATAGTGGTAGATGATATAGTTTGTAGCAGAAACGTACAATGGGCACCTTTATAATACCACTATATTTGGGAGGGACATCAAGAGCTATATAACTTTTGGAGTGGAAGTTCTGCCATCTACCACCTGCTTGTCTCAGTGAAGATGTTGCTTTGCCTTTAATGTTCTATATGGCGTTAGTTAGTCTCACATTTGTTCAATTCTGGGAGTTTATTACAAAAAATTCCTTTGTATTGTGAGTGGCCTTGCCTCTCCACAGATTTCCCTGTGACTTTATCTGGTAGTGTAAGTTTGCTGTAACAATTCCAAAAACATCTC